GTCAGCTGCTGACAATGGAAATTCTAGGGGCATGTTTGAGGGTATCAAGATGGCGACTGGAACCTACACAGTCCAAGTCCTCACCACTCAAAACATCAACTGGTGAAATCATTACTGATAAATCAAGACTGATGGAGTGCCGGGTGCAATACTATAGCGAGCTCTATGGTAGATCGAGCTCTGTCTTACCCTCTGTCCTTGACTACATTGAAAGGCTTCCCATCATATTTGAACTAGATGAGCCCCCAACCAAGGAAGATCTCTCAAAGGCAATCAGTCACATATCGTCTGGAAAGGCCCCTGGGCTTCACGGTATTCCGGCTGAAGTCTTCAAATGCAGTGGAAACCAATTGCTCGACAATCTCCACCAGCTACTCTGCAAATGCTGGGATGAGAGATACGTTCCCCGGGAAATGAGAGATTCCATTATCTCAACCCTATACAAGAACAAGGGAGACAGCAGTGATCGCAACAGTTACCGTGGCATCTCACTTCTGTGCATTGCTGGAAAGCTGTTTGCCCGAGTAGCATTATACCGCCTTCAAAAGATCGTTGAAAGGATGTACCCTGAATCCCAGTGTGGTTTCCGCTCTAATCGGTCGACTGTGGACATGATTTTCTCTTTGAGACAACTCAAGGAGAAGTGCAAAGAGCAACAACAGCCTCTCTGCATTCCATTCAACGACGTGGCAAAGCCGTTTGACCTTGTTAGTAGAGACGGCCTTTTCAAGATTCCGCCCTTACTTGGCTGTCCTCCTAAACTCCTGAGCTTCATCAAATCGTTCCATGATGGGTCTCGGGGTACAGTGCAGTATGACGGAAACAGGTCTGAGGCATTAGATATAAAAAGCGGCGTAAAACAAGGATGTGTGCTAGCCCCAACTCTCTTCAACATCTTCTTTTCAGTTTTACTGAATCATGCTTTCAAGTCCTCTGAAGAAGGCATCCTGATACGATCTCGTTCTGATGGTAAACTCTTCAACCCTGCACGCCTTAGAGCCAAGACCAAAGTGCGCAAGGTAGCCATCCGTGACCTTCTCTTTGCCGATGATGTTGCCCTCGTTGCTCACAGCGCTGAAAAACTCTAACTCCTCCTCAATCAGTTTTCTGACGTATGTGAGGCCTTCAGACTTAGGATCAGCCTAAAGAAGACGAAGTCATGTCCCAGGACACTGCAGCCACACCTACCGTACGGTCAAAGATTACATCTTGGAAGCCGTCACACAGTTTACCTATTTCGGCTCCACCACCTCAAACAACAACTGCCTTGAAGTGGAGATTGCAAAAGAGATTTGGCAAGACTGCAACCAACATGGCTAAGCTGTCTGCCCGTGTGTGGGAGAACAAGAAGTTAACTACCCAAACTAAAGTTGCTGTGTATCGTGCCTGCATCGTGAGCACCTTATTGTTTGGTAGAATGTCTTGGATTACGTACGCTAGTCAGGAGAAGCCCTTAAACATCTTCCATATGAGATGTCTTCGTCGCATCCTCTCCATCTCATGGACAGATAAGGTCTCTAACAATGAGGTACTTGCAAGAGCCAATATCCCCTCGATGTTCACCCTGATAAGACAGCGCAGATTGAGGTGGCTCGGTGATGTGTACCGGATGGAGGACGGGCGAATCCCTAAGGATCTGCTGTATGGCGAGTTGGAAACAGGTTCTGCCTATTGGCAGGATTAAGCTGCGTTTCAAGGACGTATGCAAGAGAGATATGCTCGCCACTGGCCTGCCAACAGATAACTGGGAGCTACATGCTGCAGATCGGAGTGATTGAAGGTCTATGTGCAGTCTGGCACTCCAGGCGGGAAAGGAAAGGCTGAAAGCTGAAGCGTACGATAGAAGAGCTAAGAGAAGAGCAGCAATGAAGAAAGCAACGTGTGCTCTAGTGGCATGTGTCTTCGTGTGCAGTGGATGCGGCCGTGTCTGCCGTTCTAGAATTGGGCCTTTTAGCCACGAGAGAAAGTGTTTGTCGCAATTGCGCTAGTCATGGACATGGTCCGACGACTGCCTACAAGTCAACCATTCAGTCAACCAGCTACTCAACCAGTCAGTCATCAGTTAACTAGTCACTCATTCACCTGGCGATCAGCAAGTCATTTAACCGTTGAGATAACCAATCAAGTACCATTGAGTTAGTTAACCACGCAGTCAGCCAGTGACTCACAGGTCAATTAGCCACTTGGTCACCAATCGGTCAGCAAGTCAGTTAACCTGACTTGCTGAGTACATATCGGTCAGCCAGTCCGTTACATAGCCACATAGCCACATAGCCACATAACCACATAGCCACATAGTCACATAGCCAGTCAAGTACCACTAGGTCAGTCATTCACTCAGTCAGGGAAACAGTCCACCAGTTACACAGCGAAACAGTCACCAGTCAATTAGTGACTCATTCACCAGTCGTTCAGCAAGTCACTTAACCAGTCAGATAGCCAATCAGGGTCCATTGAGTCAGTTAACCTATCATTCAGCCAATGAGTCAACCACGTAGTCAGCCACTGACTCACCAGTCAATTGGCCACTCAGTCACCAGCCGGTCACCCAGTCAGTTAGTCAGTCATAGAGCCAGTCAAGTACCACTGGGTCAGTGTACCTTTCAGTCAGCGGGTCAGTCAACATGCCAGTCAGCCAGTCAGCCATTCAGTCACAGTGCCAGTCAGCCAATTAGCCACTCAGTCCCCAGTCGGTCAGTAAGTCAAAGAATTACTCAGACAGCCAGTGAAGTACCACTGGGTCAGTCAGCCTTTTAGTCAGCCGGTCAGTCAACCAGTTAGTCAGCCAGTAAGTCCCAGTCAATTAGCCAATCAGTCACCAGTTGGTGAGCGAGTGACTTAAGCAGAAAAAAAACTTTTGCAAAAACTATTGTTGAGAATTGGACTGCGTGACTGTTACGCTGTGGAAGTAAACTTTGTTCCCTTTTTTCTTGTTACCCATTGATCACGTGATGTAAGATTAGATTTTAAGAAAAAATATGACCATGTGCGAGGCGATGTGTGATTGAGCGAGTGTTTTGTTTTTTTTGGGTCATTTTAACGTGAATTTTATCGGGAAAATCTCTTGTGTTAGAGGGAATTGGAAGATTCCTGACACAAACTGGCACCTCCGACGGGACTTTGAGCGAAACAGCGAAACAAGCAAGGAAATCAGACGCTAGAAGAACAACACGACAACAATGGAAGCGTTGACCTCGGAGCTAGACGTGCAACTCAAACTCCTTACTTTCACTCGAGGGAAAACCAAGGGAATCGTCGAGAAAGCAAACCCTGAAGGGATCGAACGACATCGTGAAGCTCTTCGGACAATTGTGAAGAAGGTCGAAAGCGTAAAAACGCAGATTGAACAAGCGAAATTAGAGAGTGGAGTTCAAGTTGATGAGCTAGCCGAATGGAGCGCTGGCGTTG